ACTGCACAGCAGTGACCCCTTTTCCCTTAATTCCTGCCTTTATGTCACAAAACAAAACATTCTAGATCTGAGGTGATTGTCTAAAGTATAAAAATGCTTTTAGCAACGTTGAATCTTGATCATGAATTAAATCTGAATCTAGATCTAAAAGCACCTATGATGGCAAGTCGAGAACAGAGACGAGAGAAGCGATACCGGCTAGCATCATGATGAACAAAAAAGAAAAAATGAAAAATCGCGGGAGAAGAAATGGACGGGAGAGGAAGGCTAGAAGCGCCACACTCTCCTCCTAAATAGAAGTGAAGAGAGAGGGGCTAGGGTTTCTTAGATAGAGTTAACCCCCCCCCCCAAAAAAAATAAATAAATAAATAAATAATAAAAACAATAAATAAAGCTAAAAGTACATATAAAAGGCAAACAAGAAGTCCTAAATCCTTTATTCAATTGGAAGAGGAGCCAGCCTTTCCATTGTCCATTTCCAAATAATTTTTCTGGACTACACACGCCTCCATTGTATCAATGCAACAAACAGCAGAGAGAGAGAGAATGGCATACAACTCATACCATATGAAAGCAATGAGAGTGTTTTCTCTGATCATTTGTATTGCTCTGCCATCATCAACTTCATCATTTGTCTGTGAAAATTTCACTGATTGCATATCGCTTCTCAAATTCAAAGATGGCATAACAAGTGATCCAGATGGGCATCTCCAAACATGGAATACTAGTACCAGCAGTTCCTTATGCAACTGGACTGGAATTACATGCCACCCACAACTCCAAAACCGGGTCATAGCGCTCCAGCTCATAAACATGGGTTTACGAGGACAGGTTTCGCCTTATATATCCAATCTCTCTTTTCTCACCACCCTTTCTTTGCAGGAAAACAGCTTCTATGGAAACATCCCAACTACTTTGGGATGTAAACATGAGCTTAAATCAACTCAAAGGCAACATTCCAGATGAACTCTTTCAGCTGAAGAACTTGACATACTTGGCTCTTGCTGTGAACGGGCTCACTGGCATCTTACCAGATTCCCTATCAAACTTGACAGAGTTGACAGATTTAGTACTGGCGGTTAACTATTTCAACGGAAAGATCCCAGAAGGACTTGGAGCATTGACAAAGCTAGAAATAATGAATTTCCACACAAACGATTTCCAGGGAACAATACCAGCATCCATAAGTAACTGCACTGCTCTGCGTGAGATTGCACTGTCAGAAAATCTATTAACAGGAGACATACCTTCTGAATTGGGAGCCAAACTCTACAACTTGGAGAAGTTATATTTGCTAGACAACCAACTCACAGGGCGGATTCCAGTGACCTTATCAAATCTTTCTCACCTGACTTTGCTTGACCTGAGTCTCAACAAGTTAAGTGGAGAAGTTCCTCTGGAGTTGGGAAAGTTGCAGAAACTTGAGATTCTTTACCTCCACAGCAATGACCTGGTTAGCAACTCCAACAACTCTTTTCTAATGGCTTTCTCAAATTGTTCATTTCTACAAAAACTGCACTTGGGTTCATGTTTGCTTGCGGAAAGTCTGCCAACCTCTATTGGCCGTCTTTCCAAAGACCTTTATTACTTCAATATTCTGAATAACCGCATGACAGGCAACATACCAGAGGGTATAGGAAATCTGAGTGGCCTTGTAAGCCTATACCTAGAAGGTACAATTCCAGATACCTTGAAGAAAATTGCATATCTAGAAGTTCTAGACTTGTCCTATAACAAGCTAACTGGTAAAGTTCCCTCATGGATTGATGACAACCAAATGCTCAAAAATCTAAATTTGTCATATAACAGATTAACAGGAGAAGTCCCAATTGCTGGGAAATTTGACCACCTCAGAAGAAGTTCATTAATGGGGAATGCAGGATTGTGCGGTGGCTCTCAGATATTGGGCCTCCCTCCATGTGAAGTTACAAAGAGAAAGCACAAGACAAGGAAATGGGTATATTATGTTCTTGCAATTTCACTAAGTTGTATGTTATTGCTCATTATGTTGATTGCCATTTCTGTCCGTCACCGCTTTTTCAAAAATGAAACTAAGGAGCAACTAATGGTGCCCCTGGGACACCGTGGAACCCATACTTTAACTCAGAGGGAACTGGAAATAGCAACAGATGGGTTTGATAAGGCCAATCTCTTAGGGAGGGGAAGCTTTGGATCAGTATATAAAGCAATCATTGATGAAGGAAAAACCGTTGTGGCAGTTAAAGTTCTGCAGGAGTGCAGTCAGAGTTATAGGAATTTGAAAAGGGAGTGCCAAATATTGTCTGAAATTAGACACAGAAACCTAGTTAAAATGGTAGGGGTAAGCTGGAATTCAAAATTCAAGGCTATTGTCTTGGAATTCATGGGCAATGGGAACTTGGAACAGCATCTTCATCCTAGTGGGTCGGAGGAAGGACGGTGCAAACTGACACTCATGGAGAGATTGCAAATAGCAATAGATGTTGCCCATGGCTTGGAATATCTTCATGAGGGTTGTTCAAGTCAAATTGTGCACTGTGACCTAAAACCACAAAATGTGCTTTTGGATGATGATATGGTGGCTCATGTAGCAGATTTTGGGATTGCAAAGCTAATCTTAGATCACAATCCAAAAGGAGACTACAATAGCACAACCAATTTTCTGCGAGGAACAGTTGGGTATATCCCCCCAGGTACATATCTCTCTACTCAGATCATGATAACTCTCTTTTTACTTTTCTTTTATTGATTATTATTATTTATTTTTGACATCTCTAATTGAAAAGAGGGAAAAAAAAATTGAATTTTCTTGGTACACCGAAAGTATGCTATAACAAGGTAAACACACACACACACACACACACACACATATATAAATATATAACAAAAAAAATATATATTAACATCTAAAATGAAAGTTATTGGCTTTAGCATTCCCAAAATTAAAAGTTAAAAAGTCGAAAGGATAAATGATTAATAATTATTAATTCACATTGTTTTTATTTTAATATTGAATCACAACTCGCAAGTTAATATCTTTAAACTTGCAATGTGTTTTACATGTACTCAAACAATGGACACCAAGTGTCCAAAAGGTGTTTAGCAATTAAAATATATATACATGTTTGGATGAGTGTATGACATGTGTTGAGGAGTATCCGATGAGTGTTGGTGTCTGACATGGACATAAAACTATCTTAGGAGTGTCTGCTCTTAGGCCATGTCTGGTATAAACATAAATACATATATGTTGGATAAACTATGCAGGACATAATTCAAACTAGCTAATGTTGCAAAAGTTGACCAACAAGTAGAGAGGATCCTGAAACAATGTTTGCAGATAGCTGATGCTGCTGCAAAGTGCTAAAATTTCTGAGGTTAAAGATTTATATATATATAAAAATAAAAATAATAATAAATAAATAAATAAAAGAGGAGTTGAAGTTCCATACTAGTAACTCAAGAAAAGGAGCATAGCAACAAGCCTTCAAGTTAGAAGCAAATTATTCAAACACCACAATCAATTACCCCATTTCAATTTAATCACAAGAACAACAACCATTCAAACATCCCCCACACACACCACACCCTCAGCCAAGTACCCTCACAACCATTGTAACCACCGTCCAACAAATACACACCTAAATCAAATGAAATACCTGCATCAATTAAGAATGTCAGGTAATAAAAATCCACTTCGAATCTCTCAACCACATTATAACCCTTCCATCATACCTAGGACCTTGCCCACATAATAAGCCTTCCAATGAAGTATAGCTTTCCCTTCAGCTAGAATTGCAGGAAACAATTGGATCCATGACATCATTGACCCAACATCATACTAGCCATTTCCTTCAACAATAGCCAACCAATTTCAACTAGATTATCATTAAATAATTTGTTCTCATTAGTTCCCATCAATGGTGGTCCCACCCATTCAACATTTAAGACTAACCTGTTGAGTGGTCAAGGGGAGGTGATGGGAGAAAATAGGAGAAAGAGAGAGGACCTAGTGGCCTTTGTGGGAGGGGGGTTGTTGCGAGGTGGGGGTGGAAGGCAGAGAGGGAAGGTTTGTGATCAATTGTAGAACAACCAAAAATTCCATATTTGTCCTTGAAAATTCTCTTGTGAGATTCTGTCAACCCATTAAACAAAAGCCTAACATAATGGTGACATTGTTATTTGACCAAAAATGCAAGGCCTTGACTGTTACAATTAAAAAATGAGGGTCAAAGTGGAATTCGGTGTAAGGTGCAGGAAAGCAAAGTGTAATTTACCCATATTTATATGATGTTGATATGCTATCAAATAAGTTTTATTTACGTAGTTATAGGGCTTGTTTGTTGCAACTTATGCTAAATTGAGAGTTGATAATCTTTAGCAGTATCTAAAAGCACTCCTCCCCCAGTTTCTGAATGCCGTTTGGTATTATTAATTCACATTGTTTTTATTTTAATATTGAATCACAATTCGCAAGTTAATATCTTTAAACTTGCAATGTGTTTTACATGTACTCAAACAATGGACACCAAGTGTCCAAAAGGTGTTTAGCAATTAAAATATCAACAATGTTAGGTGGCCCTAAAAATCATGACTCGAATGGCTCGAAACACCCAAAACGACGTCGTTTTAAGTGTAAAACGACGTCGTTTTGACACATTCGAGCCATTCGAGCTACAAAAATTCGGGCCCCCAAACATTTTCTTAAAATATATATACATGTTTGGATGAGTGTCTGACATGTGTTGAGGAGTATCCAATGAGTGTTGGTGTCTGACATGGACACAGAACTATCTTAGGAGTGTCTGCTCTTAGGCCATGTCTGGTATAAACATAAATACATATATGTTGGATAAACTATGCAGGACATAATTCAAACTAGCTAATGTTGCAAAAGTTGACCAACAAGTAGAGAGGATCCTGAAACAATGTTTGCAGATAGCCGATGCTGCTGCAAAGTGCTAAAATTTCTGAGGTTAAAGATTTATATATATATATATAAAAATAAAAAAAATAATAAATAAATAAATAAAAGAGGAGTTGAAGTTCCATACTAGTAACTCGAGAAAAGGAGCATAGCAACAAGCCTTCAAGTTAGAAGCAAATTATTCAAACACCACAATCAATTACTCCATTTCAATTTAATCACAAAAACAACAACCATTCAAACATCCCCCACACACACCACGCCCTCAGCCAAGTACCCTCACAGCCATTGTAACCACCGTCCAACAAATCCACACCCAAATCAAATGAAATACCTGCATCAATTAAGAATGTCAGGTAATAAAAATCCACTTAGAATCTCTCAACCACATTATAACCCTTCCATCATACCTAGGACCTTGCCCACATAATAAGCCTTCCAATGAAGTATAGCTTTCCCTTCAGCTAGAATTGCAGGAAACAATTGGATCCATGACATCATTGACCCAGCATCATACTAGCCATTTCCTTCAACAATAGCCAACCAATTTCAACTAGATTATCATTAAGTAATTTGTTCATTAGTTTCCATCAATGGTGCTCCCACCCATTCAACATTTAAGACTAACCTGTTGAGTGGTCAAGGGGAGGTGATGGGAGAAAATAGCAGAAAGAGAGAGGACCTGGTGGCCTTTGTGGGAGGGGGGTGGTCACGAGGTGGGGGTGGAAGGCAGAGAGGGAAGGTTTGTGATCAATTGTAGAACAACTAAAAATTCCATATTTGTCCTTGAAAATTCTCTTGTCCCACCCAACCACCAACCACCCACCACTACTCACCACCACCAGCCACCCACCACCCACCGTCACCACTTTCCACCACCGTCTTCCGCCGCCACTTGCTGCCACTTGCCACCACTTGCCATTTCTCACTCTTTTTTATATTTTTAAACATTTTTTCAATTACCAAACGCGTTTGTAGTTTATGTTTTTATAAAAATAAATAAAAAATAAACAAAAACCAGTTTATAAAATTTTTGTAAATATAAATTGAAAACGTAAACGTTACCAAACAGACCAGCTTCTTTTTTTTTTTTTCAAGTCATTTAAGTTATTTGTACTACATAAGATGTAAGCAGAAGCCATAACAAGCGGTTTGACACGGAACCTCAAAATAAAAGCCCATGTAAACTATAGTAAACAAAACGATAGTAAGTTTTAGAATTTATATTGAGATGGTTCTAGGTTTTTGAAGGAATGGACTAGTAGAGGGGCATGGATCTTATTTAATGGTATGCTATTGGGTTTTCAAATCTGGTGCTTAGTGGTTCTACAATGATCTTACTATGAATTCTTGACTCCTAGTAGTAAGAGATTCCCAGTACCTATGGTGACATTCAAATCAGGAAATTGAGCATATGATTTTCTACAATTGCTGTTAAGTAAAACTGAGCATCTGATTGAAGTAAACTAATCTAACAACCTTCGCTTGTAAGCAGAATATGCACAGGGGATTGAAGTATCAGCAAGCGGTGATGTATACAGCTTTGGTGTGATTATGTTAGAGATGATAACAGGCAAGAAACCCACAAATCAAATGTTTTCAGATGGAATTGATCTAAGGAAATGGGTGTGGTCTGCATTTCCTGATCGAATTTTGGATGTTGTAGACATCTCATTAAAGCAGGAGGCAAATGAAACAGATGGGAGCGGTGCATTAAGTAAGCATCAATTATGTTGTATCGATATGCTCAAAGAAGGGATGATGTGCACAGAAGAGAATCCTCAAAAACGTCCCTCCATCTCATTGGTTGCTCAAAGGCTGAAAAATTTCCAGAAAGGAATGGGATTTGCAGAATTATGTAATCAGAAAATTTTCCACAACTAAATTGGGGACCTAATGGAGCAGCCCTTAATTGGTTAGAGGATAATTATCAACTTTGGAAGTCTCGAATGAGGATGATTCTATTTGCACACCACATTTTGTCTCAGTAAACACCATTTGTGCGGATATCTACTTCCAAACAAAATACAAATGTTTGGATATCTACTGCTGAACAAAGTACAAATGATCGAATATAAAATATTGAATGCGATTTTGTTCGAATAATTGGTTTTGTTCAAAAGTTAATATTCGAACATTTTTTGTTTTTGTTCAGAAGTTAATATCTGATCGGCACAAATGGTGTGTATTGAGATAAAATATAGTGTGCGAATAGAATTACCCCTCAAATGAAGGCCAAGGTAGCCCATTGTATGGAAATAAGACTTTTTCGTCCAATAAATGTAATTGATAGATTTTATTATTAGTTAATATTTACCTAGAATCTGAAAAATTGTTTGTTAGGATATTTTGATTATGTTTCCTAATATTATTAGGGTTTAGTTTCTTATATTAATAAGGGTTAACGACATATAAATAGGCATAACATTGTATTATTTAGATTTGGATGAATAAAATTAAGGTTGTGGTCTCTGATAGCATCAAGGCCACAATTGGTAGCACAAATGTGTAGAGCAAACATTGCACCTTAGTTACATAGAAATTGGCATTGTATCTCAAATTCAAGCCTAAACAGTTCTATTTTTTTAGTAGAATATACTTTCACCTGGTAAATTTGTTTGTGTGCACAATTTTCAAATTCAGAGTAGGAAAATGAGGATTACTTTATAATAACATTGATTTTACCAAAAACAATTACTCTTCATATGCAGATTTGAATGTGCAAAATCATAATCGAACAAAAATTAACAAATCTATGATTCCTAAATGTCTAAGATTACCTAACCTGTTACCTTTACATTGGCGAAGAGTGAAATTGAGAATGCACCAAGAAGCATTATTGCCGCAGTCTCTTGATTTCATCTTCATTCAATTTCACTTCATCACTACCCGTGAAGCAGTCTCTTGATTTCAGTCTTCAGCCAGTGGCATTAGCAGTGGCGCTGTTTGGTGAGCTTTTTTAAGCTAAAAGCTAAAAAGTACTATTCGGCAGTTTTTAAATAATTAATTAATTTTTCTTAAAAATTTATTTATGTTATTTCTGTTTTGGAGTTATATTTTATTTGACATCTTTTTGATATTAATATTTTTTTTTTATCTTTTTATCTTTTTTTAATCATATTATTTTTTTATATAATTTTTTTGTAAAAAATTAAAAAGTTTATTTATTTTGATCATCTCAAACAACCACTTAATATGTTATAAATAAAAATTACAATAAACAAATACAAACTCTCAAATTAAAATAACTATAATGGATTCTTAAAAGTTGTATTGTATCAAATATGTTTGGATATAGAAAAATGCTTCAGAGCTCGAATTCTCCGTGGCTCGAATCCAAAATGACGTCGTTTTGGTTTTTTTTTTCTTCTTTCTTTTTTTTCTTTTATATCTGAAACAGAAAGAGGAAGAAAGAGAGAGAGAAGGAAAAGGGAAGAGAGAAGAGGGAGGGGAGACCATCACCGGCGCCTGCCATTCTCTGTGTGTATACACAGATTTGTATCTCTCTCTCTCTCTCTGTATCTATCTCTCTCGTTCTCTGTATTTCTCTCTCTCTGTGAAGTCTCTGTGATGATGATGATGTGGTGTTGATGATGATGATGAGTTGGTTGTTGATGATCTCTTTCTTCTTTCTTCTTTCTTCTTTCTTCTTTCTTCTTCTTTTGTGAGTCATGGAAAGGACGAAGAAAAGGAGAAAAAAAAAAATCAAAACGACGTCGTTTTGGGATTTCAGGCTACTTGAGTCATGGAAAATTCGAGCTACGTAGCGGGATTGTTGGATATATTGGCCAGAAAACAAAAGAATTTATTTGGTAGGACCATGTTCATAATTCAACTTTCACCAATTTTTTCATTTTCTATTCGTATTAATTTTTAAATTTGGGTAAAAAACTCTAATTTTAATGTTCATCAAAATTTTTATAAAAATTCTCCTCTTATTTTAAATTTATTTTTGAACACACTATAAATAGGTAGGGTTGGGTATGGTTCAGATTGATTTGGTTTAAGAGTCAATCAAAATCAAATCATTACTTTTAATTTTATGAAATGTGAAATCAAATCAAAACATAAAAATCTTTAAACCAATTTAGATCAAATCACTAAAACATGATTTGATTCGATTTGAACCACGATTTTTAAAATATTATTATCATTCATAATATAATCACAAAAAATTGTTCAGAACCTAAAAATTATTTGGATAAATGTTTATGATTAGTTCTATCACTATATAACAGCACACTTGTAAAAGTAGAGATATGTAACATATGTATATATTTAATACTATTATGGGTGGTTTGGAATTTACTTATTTAGTGATTTTTTGACTTTTTATTAAAAAATATATAGAAAAGTAAATAAGTAATATGATAATTTATAATAAATAAGTAAATAAGTACACTTATTCAATGCATTCCCAAATAAGATATTTGAGTGTTTACAATAATTCACAAATATATGTATGTATATATATATATATCGTTCTGTTCGATTTTAAACGGATTTGTAACTATAAAATTATGGACCAAACCATAAAATGTTGTTCGCTTATTTTAAGAATCAAAACCAAACCGTGCAATGAGAAACCCAAGCCAAACTGAGTGGTTTGGTCTAGATAGGACCCATTTATGATTTTTTATTTTATTTTTTTTGCTCAACCCTACAAAAAGTGGGACAATAGGAGTGGACAAATATCGGGTTGGGCCTGCATTATATAGTAAGAGTATGTGTGTCATCCCAAATTTAACCCGATCCAACATTAGGTTTAACCTAACCATTCTAAGCCCAATCTTAAAAAAATATCGAAATCCCAAACTTGCTCACTTAACCCATATTAATTTTTTTCCCCCTCTATCTTGAAGAGTTATTAAATTATTTAAACCCTTTTAATATATTTGAATTGAAAATATTAATAAAATTAAACTATAAAATAAATATAATCTTGTAAGAAGTGTTTTAGTTTGACCTATACAAATAACTATATGTATATGTATTTTTTTATCTTTTATTTTTTTAAATTTATTTTGTATTTAAATAATATAAAAATTAATATTAATATTTTTTAAATGGCAAGCTAGGGCTGGGCTGGGCTATTTTTTTTTTATTTCAAACCCAACCTGAAAATTAAATCGGCTAAAAAATTTGTCCAGCCCAACCCTATAGAATAAATATTTTTCCCAAGCCTTAAAAAAATTAGGTTGGGTTGGATGGGCCACTGGATCAATGGACACCCCTATAGAACAGTTACAAAATAATTACATTATAAATGAGAATTTTTGTTATGCAATTCTGACATATAAAAGGAGTTGCACTAAGTATTGGAATGGATTTGCACTATTCATACAAAGTTGCATCATCATGAAAATGTAATTTTTTAGCCATTGAAATGCAAATTTCCTTTAATTTTTTTAATCAAATTTGTTGAAGAATTTGATAATTTCTCAATTTAATGAAAGAATAACTCTTCCTTATTTGATGAATATTTGATAAAAGGGTTTGAAATAATTTTTGAATACTTCCTTGTCAAATTTAAATTTAATAAAAGAAACGGTGAATGATGGGAAATGCTCTTATGCAAAGAAAAAAAGAAAAAAGATTGAATCTCCTATTTGTTTGGTTAAATTGGAGAGAAAAGAAAAAATATATATAATCATTTCTCTTTAATTTTATTTCGATAAATTACATAAAATACAAATAATAATTTTTCTTGCAAGTTATATTATTAAAATAATATTTTATTTTTTGCTTAAAGAGATAGTTTTTGTATTACGTACAATTAGAAAGCATTCTATTTATTCTCTCTCAATCTCTCAAATTTTATAGCTATTCAAAAAACAGTTATAAGCAAAATTAATTTGAAAACTCATTAAATTTTTTAATCAAACTTAAAAAAATCTATTTACTCAACTCGATTCAATTCGTTTTCAATTAGGACTGTAAACAAATCTAGTCGAGCCGAGTTTTTGAGTGTTCAAACTTGTTTATTAACAATTAGTTAAGTCAAGCTTAAATGATCATCACATCTTTGATAAATTCGTGCCAACTTCATTACATAAACGAGCGGAGTTTGAATTCGAACTTGAATTTTTTTTTTAACTTAAATTAATTTATTTCTTAATATAAAAGAATATGAGTAAAATATACAAGAATGTTGATGTTAATAAAACATTCCATCAAGGGTTGTTTGAGGTGTCCTAAATAAGTGCACTTTTTGACTTTTTGGACTAAAAAGTTGAGAAAAAAATATGATTGTTTGGGATAACTTTTTGAAATTTTACGAAAAAAATGTGTATTAAAAAATTGTATAAATTAGTGTATAGGAGAAGATTATGATGGAATAGGCTGTACGGTGAGGGAAAGCGTGTGCAGAGTAGGGGGGAGATGGTTCCCTACTTTTCAGGCAGTGAATTGAAGGTGTTGTTCGGCCCGTGGGGGCCTATCACGGGTTTCTTTTTGCTAATCAAAATTGTTCGATGTATAGAACTCGTCGAGTACTATATGTTTGTAAAAAATCACGTTGATCGGATATCGATAGCTATCTGATCGGATTAATTTTTTTTCAACCGTTAACTATAACACCATCCATTTTATAAATTTTAACTGATTGGATCATATAGTTACAGATATCCGATCAACGTGATTTGTAACAAGCATATAATACTCGACGAGTTCTACATATTTAACGGTCCAGATTGTTAAAATGAGACCCATGATTGCCCCCATGGGCCAAACAGCACAGTGTTATTTGTGCACCTAAATCAGTGCAATTTTTCCAAAAACTCAGCTGCGCCTGTGGGACGTCATAGCTGTTTGAAAATTAATTTTGTGTAAAATTAATTTTTTAATATTTTTTTTGGTGAATAGTGATAACTTTTTAACTTTTTGAGTAACTTTTTAGCTTTGTGTCTTTTTTTAATTACCCCAAACTAGGCCTAAATATGTAAATTTACACAAATAAAATAAATTAATAAAAAATTATTTGATATATTATTAGAAGTGAATATTAATTTATTTTTTTCTTTATATTCACAAGTTTTATCAAGTCGAGTTTAGAATTATTCAAACTTAACTTGATTAATAAATAAGTTTAAAAATTAAACTCAAGCTCTTTTATTTAACAAATAAGTTAATCTTAAATGAGTTTTAAGCGAGTTGAATTCAAACTAATCATGAACAACTCAATTAACTTGCAATCCTATTTTTAACTTGAATGCTTTGTGTTAGACTTATTTATTTTGATGATTTATTTAACTATGTTTTAATTTATTTGAAAAAGAAAAATAGAATTAAAATTTATTTTGTTTCATTATTTCTCACCTAAACCTTTATCCTAAATGTTGTTAGAATGTATTTAATATTTGATCAAATCAGAGGTTCAAACTGCCCAGCACAGCAGCATGCCAAAAGGTTCAAACAACCCAACATAACAACAGACTAAAAGGTTCAAACAGCCCAGCATAGCAGCAGCCCAAAAGGTTCAAGTGGAAAATATTCAAATTAGTAATGATAGAGTGGAAGATATTCAAATTAATAATGATGGAGTATAACGGCTATAAATTCAAATGAATACAACGTCTATAAACGGTTATAAATTCAAATGAATACAACGGGTATAAACGGCTATAAGTTTCATTATATATACCAAAGCCTTTAATGTAAACAAATTACAAAAAATCAAAAAATATTCTTTGATCTATAATCACTCACATCTATTCTCTGAAAAATTCTCTAAGAAGTGTTCTTCAATTTTTGTTTACCTCCTCTTTCAGAAATTATATACTGAGACGTATAGCTTTAAGCCCATCTTTCCTGTATGAGGTTTACAGAAAAATCAAAGATTCATTTTTATATCTATCTTTGAGAGAAAATTCTTGTAGCTTTCTGTGAAAATAAAAACACATTCTTTTCAACCTTGTAAGAGTGTAGTACACTCAGTGTTCTTGACTTAGAAAGTCTGTGTAAAATACGTGGAGGATTGCTCCATTTGTAAAGAGATTGCTAGCACCCCGTGAATCTAAAACATAGTAAAAAATCTCAAGTGAAACTTGAGAAGTGGACGTAGGCCGAGTTGAAACCGAACCACTATAAATTTGTTTGTCTCTCTCTCCCTTATCTCTTTATTTTATTTAAATTACTGGAACTATATTTCACATTTTCACTGTGCTAAAATCATTAACTGACATAGTTGTTAGAACACATGTTTTAATTATTTTTATTTCATTAACTATATATATCGATTGTGCTAGTCATAATTTTTATTAGGGTATTATTAATTTTTAATTGTAAAACCTAATTCACTCTCCCTCTTAGGTTGTCTTTTGGGTAACACTTTGTAACTTATTAATCCCAATATTAAATAATGCCACAAAAACCATCTTATCAAATTTGTTTTTAAAATTTTAACACAAAATATAGAATGAGAGGGAAAGATTATGATAGACTCTCTTTAAATAGTGTGTACTATGTGCACTTTATAATTATTAAAAAAATAATATAATTTCATACTTTATGAGTCATAACTAAGAAAAAATCATAACCAAACAAAAAGCTAAAATAGTCAAAAAAGTCAAAAAGCCAAAAAGCCAACCCACTTCCCAAACGGAGGCATTAAATTATACAGTTGAGATTTCTTACTAATAAGAGAATCTTTTTATTAATTCTGACTGATAAAATTTAACTCTTATTGATAAAAATGTTTAGTCTACAAGCCATTCATATATGAAAAATGTTTGAGGGCCACAATTTTTGTGGCCACAACGGCTTAAAACTGTCAAAACGACGTCGTTTTGGGTGTAAAACATGCAAAAATGACGTCATTTTGACAGTTTTAAGCCATTATGGCTACAAAAATTGTGGCCCTCTAACATTGTTGTTCATATATATATGTATATATATATACACACTAGTGAAAAAAGCTCGGCAAGGCACATGTTAGTATAACCTTTGACTCCAATATTTTATTGAGCTTACTAAATGAAATGAAATAATATGACATTTTTTTGAAAATATTTATTTTATATTTGATTCATTCAAAAAATAATTAAAAAATACATTGTAAAAGAAATAATAATTATTCCATAAGAAAATAAAAATAAAAATAAAATTATTTCATTCCATTGCACTACCTGATTTTATTTTTTTCCCAAAAATAAGCTTAGTTTCTTACAAAATTGAATAGAATCAATGATTAAATATATGATAGAAATTTTAATTTCTATTATAAAGTAAAATTATGGAATAAATAGATGAGATAAAATTTTAGTTCAAATGAGTAGATTTTTATTTTTTATTTTTTATTTTTTATTAGGATGGAATCACCGTTAAACTTTGATTTAGTTTCATTTGTAAAAAAATATTTTTAGATCCGTGCAAGGCACATGCTATTCTTTTGATAAATTTATATTTCTAAAATACAAATCTTATAACAAATTATTTTGTTTGGTTTGATTTTTAAAAATTAATTTAGACAAATTTTTATTTGTTTTAATAATTTTTTTTTTTTATATTTTATTCAAATTATGTGTTAGACTTATATATTTTGATGATTTATTTAATTATGTTTTAATTTATTTGAAAAAGAAAAATAGAATCCAAAATTTATTTTGATGATTTATTTAATTATATTTTAATTTATTTGAAAAAGAAAAATAGAATCAAAATTTATTTTGATGATTTATTTGAAAGAGAAAAATAGAATCAAAAGTTATTTTGTCCCATTATTTCTCACCTAAACCTTTATCCTAAATGTTGTTGAATGTATTTAATATTTGATTAAATCAGGAGTTCAAATAGCCCAAAACAGAGGTTCAAACAACCCAGCACAGCGGCAGTTCAAAAGGTTCAAGTGGAAGATATTCATATTAGTAATGATGGAGTACAACGGCTATAAATTTAAATGAATACAACGGCTATAAACGGTTATAAGTTTCATTATATATACCAAAGCCTCTAATGTAAACAAGTGACAAAAAATCAGAAAATTTTCTTTGATCTATAATCACTCACATCTATTCTCCGAAAAATTCTTTGAGAAGTGTTCTTCAATTTTTGTTTACATCCTCTCTCAGAAATTATACACTGAGCCTTATAGCATTAAGTCCATCTTTCTTGTGTGAGGTTTACAGAAAAATCAGAGTTTCGTTTTTATATCTATCTTTGAGAGATAATTATTGTAGCTTTCTGTGAAAGCAAAAACACTTTATTTTCAACCTTGTAAGAGTGTAGTACACTTAGTGTTCTTGACTTAAAAAGTTTGTGTAAAATCTGTGAAGGATTGCTCCATCTGTGAAAGGTTGCTAGCACCTTGTGAAGTTAGAAGATAGTGGAAAATCTCAAGTGAAGCTTGAGGAGTGGATGTAGGCTTGGTTGAAACCGAACCACTATAAATATGTTTGTCTCATCTTCCCTAATCTCTTTACTTTCCTACTACTGCTATATCTATCTAATATTCATGTGCTAATCATTTGATTTACCATGTATGTTAGTTGTACTTCATTATTATTTTACTTGATTATTTACTGCTAAGTTCATCATTGTGCTTGTTAATAATTTGTTGTACTAGTAGTTAATTTTATTGGGGTATTATTAACTTTAATTTGTAGAAACATAATTCACCCCCTCTTAGATTGCTTTTTGGGTAACATTATGTTTTTTACAATTTTTTTTTTTGTTTGTTTTGTTAAATTAAAAATTTTAATAAGGAACAGTAATAATTTCTATTATTGTAGGAACATTTTATATTTTAAACAAATCCCAAGGATGTATTTATAATTTGCCCAAAACCAAAATATTTATGTGTCATAACTGACCAAGAATCTTTGCATTATTACAAAAAAAAAAAAAAAACCCTTCACTGAAATTAGTACCATCAATATTGGTAAATATTACCAAAGAAAAGGATAAAATGAGAAATTCAAAAAGTAGGTTACCATTAGTAAATTATACAAAATAATAAGATAAAATGGGGGAAAAAAAAATCTCACGGGGCGTATTTGTAATTTATTCAAAATCAAAATATTTATGTTTCATAACTGACTAAGAATATTTTCATAATTACAAAAAATATTTCATCTAAATTAATACTATCAATATTGGTAAATGATACAAAATAAAAGGGTAAAATAATGGGTCAATTACAAACACACCCCTTAGATTTACTTAAATTATAAGTTGTCCCATGTGGTTTTAAAAATTACATTGTGCCCCCCCTGAGGTTTTTAATTTCATAACAAATAGGTCTTTTTATTAATAAATCATCAAGTTAATTAATAGTTTTTAATAATGTTAAATTTTTATTTCAATTAATTATTCAGATAACTCTATTATTATATAAGTGAAAAGTTAGAAATTTTAATTTTTTAATTAATTCTGTTAAATAAAAAAATTATGACAGGGAGATATTTGTAATTTTTTAAACCACAAGAAACAATTTGTATTTTAAACAAATTTCAGAAGTGTATTTGTAATTTATCCTAAAATAAAAAAACTAAAATGCAAGTTTCTAATAACAAATAATTTCAAATCAAAGGGTCAAGTCAAAAAAAAAAAAAGGATAAATTACATTGACACCCCTGAGGTTTATGTTTATTACAGTTCCCCCTCACATTTTGAAAATTACACCTCCTTTCTAGAGGTTTAAAGTTTCATTACAAATTGCTCCCTCAGTCAGTTGACTGTTAAGTCAACTAATAGATTTTGTTGATGTCAGCAATTTAATTTTTTTAAATATCAATTTTGCCCTCACTGGGTAAATTACATTGACACCCCTCACATTTTAGAAATTAAAATCCCCTCTCCAAGGTTTGAAATAGTATTATCAATTGCTCCATTGGTTAGTATTAGTTGAAAAAAAAAAATTAATTGGGCAAAAATTATTTGAAAAAAAAATTTGTTAGTCAAATTTTTTAATTTCTGTTTAAAAACCAACGTAAATTCATTTTTTGAATTTACATTTTTTCCTCAAATTTACAAACTGAGACAACTATTTATAAACCAAAAAAATTATCAAACAAGTTTTTATGACAGTTTTTAAAATTTTTGTAAATATAAATTGAAAATTGAAAACGAAATGGTTACCAAACAGGTTTCAGATAGTAAAAATGTCGTAAAATTAACAAATAATTAAATAAGTTACCAACGCAAGAAATGACTTATTAAAAGATTCTTAGGTTATGTATGATTTGATTTTTAGATTTTTTTTAAAAAAATTAAAAATTAATTTGGTTAAGAAATAAAAAATAAAAAATAATCATCATTTTAATATAATTTTTATCTTTTAAGTGGTTAGAAATAATTTTTTACAAATTAAATATATTTCTTCATATTTATTTTTGTTAAATTAGTTTTTTTTTTTTTAATGTCAAGGGAGATTCGTGTTAAATTGAAATCTCAGGAGGTGTCAATGTAATTTACCCTTTAAAGTATATGTAAAAGTTAAGAATAAATATGTCATTTTAACTTAAAAGTTAACAGCGTTAAATAATTACACTGACAAGAAATCAGTATAATTTTTTAAATATAAGATAAAATTATAATAAAAATAAACGTCAGAGAGTGACTGTAGTAATTTACCAAAAAAAAGTGTTTGAAGCACATAAATAATTCTTTTATACATATATATATAATATATATATATATAATACATATATATATAGAAAAAGTTTTTAATTGGTGCAGGGATAATGTCACGCATTCTGTATGTATATGTGATTGGAGAGGATAAAGAGGACATGTAAGTATGTGAGTTTGTAATTCGCCTGAGTATTTGATCATGTCGTGGCCGCACGATCAACCAATATTTTTCAGAATGTAGACCTAAATCACAGACAACGTGCAAATGTAGAGAAGCAGAAACAGAGAGAGTTGACGGGAGAGATGGACGGTTTTGTCGTCTCGTCCACAGGTGAATAAAGCTGTTTCCGAGCGCTCTTGCCCTCTTCGCACAAACCGTTACGAATCACAACGGTCACAATTTCCCCTCCACCTCCTGCTTCTTTCCATGGCGTATTGGCCCCTTGACCCACAAGAAGAACCCACTTCATACTTTCCCACCTCCTTCAAAGTCTCTGTTCGCACTGAATTGTACAAGTGAGAGAATTGGGGGTGATATTCTCTCTACTTCTTCTGCTTACGAAGTCCTCGGCGTCGTCCCTAACTGCTCTCCTGCCGAGCTCAAAGCTGCTTTTCGAACCAGGGTACACTTTCCTTCTCATCATACCAATTCAAGGATTGTATACCCATTTTTTTTTTTGGTTTTTTCTTTTAATTTTGCTATTTTTTTGGGTTGATTTGGGGTAATACTTACAATATATGAAGTGGGTTTTTGATAGATTGAAAAGTTACAGTCAGTTTGGATTGGGTGATTTGAAGAGAAAAGAAATTAAAATCTCTTTGCTATAATAACTTGTTTGGATTACTAAATAGGATGAAATGGATGGAAAGAAATAGTTAAAAAGTCACTTTTTGAATCTCTCCAGAAATGAAGAAATTTTAAGAGAAAAAGAAATTAACATAATGTTAACTTTGTTTTATAATACCAATACTGTTTATCTAAGTACAAAAGAAAAATAGAGAGAAATGATATTTGTAAAGATTATCTTGGTAAACAACCTAAGACAATTTTTTTATTCTCTCTTATTTAGTCTCACCAAACAAGATGCGAGAGAAATTTTCAAACAGACTATGAAGGTGGAATTTGATAAATGGCCGAACAAATTATAATTTATATATGCATATTTTTTACTTATTTAAATATCTTGTTGACTAGTGTAGGTGAAGCAGTATCATCCTGATGTAAGAAAAGATGGGGAGCTTTCAGATACAATGATTCGGCATGTAATTCAGGCCTATCAGGTACTAAATTTACGCGATCCTAGACCAGTTTATTTATTTTCTCTGTTAATCCCCCTTGTTGGATTTTATTTGATGGAAAAAAAAATGAAGAAAGAACGAAAGTCATTCGTTAGTTGGGTTGGGATAAAGTGGAAAAAGTTTCAATAAAGATGCAGAAAAGATAAAAAAGACAAGCCCCATTTTCATACTAACTGAGCAAAATCCAAAGCTAAAGAAGTCATGTATAGTAAACTATGGATGCAAATTATGTAGCTTTCCTCCATAACATCTCATCTTGGGCAAACTGCAAAATACTGCTTTTTTACATGCTAGTAAAATATAATCAGGTTCTAGAAATTTTAAGAATTTTATGACAGGTTATAACTGTTATCAATCATAAGAATGTTATGCATGGTGCAACTTGTACTATTTTTTCTTAATTGTTTCCAATCCTACAGCCTCCATTGCCATTTTTGGTTGGCTTCTTTGTTTTTGTTTTTTATGCCTTCATTTATTTTTATTTTATTTTTTATTTTTATTTTTTTCATATTGTCAAAGTTCTCCCAAATTTCCATTCCATGACACCAAATTGTTCCTAATTCTGAACATGTCGCTATTGATAAGAGTTAGTGAATATTGTGGTGATAATTTGTGCAGATCTTGTCCAAATACACCAAAACAGAGATCATTGAGAGGTAAAGCTGGTACTATATTTCTTTGATTTTTGTTTTTATTTATTTGAGGGATGTTTCATAGTTATTACTTATATTGTTATGTTTTTGCTTTCTTCTCTACTTTTCAATCCCTTGTTCTATTTTTTAACATATTATTGGGCAAATGATATTCAATGTCGACATTTTCATGGTTTATTATGCCTATGAGTTAACTTGTTTCATTACCCATAATCTTGGTCCTTGCTTTTTGATAGATTGCTGCTTTGTTATTTCTTTATTTTGCTTGTCATGTATAATTTTGTTTACCATTCTAACTGTCAATGATGCATTTCTAGGGAATGCCTAGATCCCTTTGATGAACCAGAATGTGAAGCATTTGATATTTTTATTAACGAGGTTCTTTGTGTTGGCAAAGGTACCATACTACTTGAACTGTTTTGCATCAATTGATTTAAAGGGTAGTACAATGTAGATAGATATGAACTTTTCCTCATTTTGACTTGCATTCCAAGTAATGAAATGCTGGTTAAGAAACAACTGAAAACCCCCTAAGTCAGCATTTGTTTGTAAGGTTATACTTTCCCCAACTAGGACATGGTTGTAGTAGAAAATGTTCTGTTTCTTGCAATGCAAAGTACTGGTATCAGTGATTAGGTTTCCTGTTCATTCATAGTGAGAAACGAAGCTCTTGCTTGGGTTAAATTGTTACCCAGTAATCAGATTGAACTGAAAAAGTTGCAAAATTAAGGTCATCAGGAATAATATAATAATTGTACACATGACTTCGTAATTATTTATGTTATCATTAAATTGTAGAGTAATACTAGTATAATTGTAGAACATCCTTGAATCATGTGCATAGTAGAACACTTAAATTCTTCTGTTATACCTGAAACTCATTGGCTACTCCATATTGTATGTTCTTGTTTTACCAGGTAAGAAAAATATATCATGTTCACTCAACCTGTTTAGATTTGATCATTTTGCAATAACAAACTCCGATATTTCATTGAAGTGCATTTACTGTGCTCTTTCTGAAAGGAAAACCACCAAATATGTATCTGTAAATTATTTCTTTATCCTTCAAAAGCATTAAGAAACTGTCACTGTGATTTAATACATACTTGTACATGATATGTGAAATTGGGATCAAGGCTGGTTGAGTTGAGTTTCATCTCCTAAGCCCTGCAAATTGGTCTGTATTCTTGGTTTCCTATTCTGACCTTCCCTTGTTTAAATTATTTCCAGGGTGTCCATATTCATGTGTAGAAAGAGCACCTCACGCCTTCCGATTTGCTTCCTCAACAGGAACTGCACATGCAACTTCTCAAGGTTCACTTCTTGTTTCTTTTTGTTATTATGATTGTACATGATAACACAATAGGCAGGGGAGAAGTTGAAAATCAATGGATGGTCATCAAATATGACACAATTCTCACAATAGTTCTAATATCTTCTGATATGTGTTCTCTTGATAGTTCCAACATGTAAATGCTACTATAAAGAGAAGTTTAGTCCTGTAGTATTATTTATTTATTTATTTATTTTAAAGCTGTTGTGTTGTGCATTTTAATCAGGACATGGTGAAGATTACCACGTTCAACTCGCAGTTGGTCAGTGCCCAAGAAGTTGCATTCATTATGTGACACCTTCACAGAGAGTTGTTCTAGAGGAGCTACTACACAGGTAATAACACACTGCACTATTTCTGGAGAGTCTTTCAACTCACTAAGGGTGTGTTTGGATCATGGATTGGGGTAGGGATTTGGATCCAAACACAGCCTAAGAAGAAGTAATGCCAGAAATTTCTATCAAACGAAAAGCTTAATTGAAAAAAATGGAGTGGAACAACTCACATGTTGGAACAGTTGTGAAACAATGAATCTTGACTTCATCCACACCTAAGCTTGATGGCACGTGATATTCATTCTCAAATTTGTAGTTTAATTTATTAGCTATTGTCAAAATAGAATAGGACTTACATTACATGGACTCTACCAAATTTGTGAATTACTCATGCTGGACACTCGACACTTAGGTGAGGGTATGAAATATGTGTTCAGTATGCCTAGTTGTACGTGCACCCAACACGTACAAGTATTGGGTTTCCTAAATAACTATGCATAAGATTCCATTTTGTACAAAAAAATGTCATATTTTAGCTTGTAAACATTATTTCCCCTTAAAAAATAAAAGAAACATTTAAGAAATATGAAATATAGTCGTGTCCTGGTGTCCTTGGACATGAGAATTAAATGAATTCGACACTTCGTATGAACTCAAACCTAACGCTTCGTACCCGTGTTCATGTAACATAAGGTACCTGCAGCACCTGCCACTTGTGCTAATGTTTTTAATGTGCATAGACTATCACATCTCTCTTTGCCTTGCAAACTAACCAGTATAACATCTTACTTTTGCGATGTCTCTTCATAAGTACCCTAATTTCTTAATTTTGTGTATTTTGATTTTGTAGCATCTTGGACATGCCTTACGACACTTCAGCTGAAGCAGACTTGCTTTACTCGCTTATCGTGAAAGCCAAATTCGAGAATAATCGTTACCAGAAGCCAAAAAAGCAGCCCAAGGTTTCAACCGACCGTGTAGATTGGTTCTGACATTTGAGTGGTGAGGCCATATTCTGCTTAAAACTTTCCTTCACTCGGAGAACTCAACATTGTAGGCAACGACACTATCATTTTATGGGAAAGATTGAAAACCAAGTGGTGTTGAGTAATGCTGATGATGATCAACATACATAATACATAGAACTAATTGGGGAGGTAAATACTGCTTCAATTGTGATGTTGGTGAAATGAAATTGAAGGGAGCAGTGAGGAGAAATTTACAGTAAAGGGTCACCTAACAACCTCTGTTTGGTCCTCCCAATCTTCTTTATCAATCTTACATATCAGTGGGAGTCCAGTAGGTCCTGGAATTGAATGTGTCAATCAATACTATATTCTTATTTTATTTTACTTTATTTTTGCAATGAGTGGTTGTACAAATGAATAATTTATTTTGTAATCACTACTTCTGAGATATTTAGACTTGATGGATGAAGTGATTCCTATGTATTTTTTGAGAAAGAAATATAAAAAAAATCCCACTCTGTATTGTCATAGCCTATTTGATGGATGATTACTCTGCTAACTTGTGGAATCGGAATAAATATTAGATGTAACAATGGTATTATCCTACATGGCATCATCAACTAATAAGACCGGCCAAATGAAGTAGGTTAGAACTGACCTTATCTAGGAGCGGCCAAATGAGGTAGGGTGGAACTTAATGCTCCCACCCTTCCAACCTCAAAGTTTTTCATGTGGCATTAGTATTTTTTATCATTGCACCCATGGTTTTGAAAACCGGACCAAACCGGCCGGTTCGACCGGTTGAATTATCGATCGGTTGGAGTTTCAGTCCGAATATACCATCTAAACTGTTCGAAATAAAAAACCGGCCTATTTAGAAAGAATCGGAAAAATCAGCGGTTGAACCGCCGAACGGGAGATGGTTTGGGTCAATCAAAGTGAAATTTTGAACTTTTTTGGGATATTTTCTATTTATTTTTTTTTATTCTCTTTCTTTTCTTTCTTTCTTATTTTATATATATATTAAGAAAATTTTAATTTGAAACTCTCTTTCAAAAGTCTCCTCTTGTGAGGAGTCCCATTAAGAGCTTGAAATTATTGTGAAAGTAATCTATTTATAAGAAAAAAATTCTTCCAAAAACATTCAAGAAAATCATTTGGGATTCAATCAAATTTATTGGAAGAAGACTTAAAATTTTGATATTCTTTTAAAATTTTTGTTCTTCTTTCAATAAAATTATTTGAATTAAAATTATATGGAGAGAATATTGAATATTTGATTTCCTCTTCCAAAATTAAAATTAATAATATTTTAAAATATATTATTATATTTTTTAGTAAAAAAAATATTAAGAGAAATATTTAAGAAAATTTAATATTTTTAATTTATAATTTTATTACTTATATTTTTATTTACATATAATTTGATATATTTATTACGTCACGGTTTGATTCCAATTCAACCTGACGGTTGAACCGGTGATCCGTTCACCCGATCCTTTTTCCAATTTGCTTACCGATCCGATTTTTAAAACATTGGTTGCACCCAATATCTACTTGTAGAATCGCAATCATGGATAGGTTTTCCTATTGGGCTCCAAGTCATCCTTTTAATTGCAATTCATTTCGTAGCTATTCTCTGTTTACTAATGAAGCATGCATCCCTGTGAACAGTTAAATGAATTGTTAACTAGCACAACATTTGGTTATTAGGCTTTTAGAAGATTCAAGTGAGATGACGTCATGCTGACATCATCGCATGGAAGATGATGTCAGCACATCCACGTCACCGTGTGAAAATTTCCAGACTTTAACAAGACAAATGATTGTAAGATCAAAACGCTCTAATACCAAATTAAAGTGTAAAGTCCTCAAGGAAATAAGATTAGGGTTCATGAGGAAAGAGAGAAGAGGAGGAGAACAGATAATGTAGAGAATAAGTTTTTGGATCATAATGACAAATCCTCACTCAACACACATTTATATTAAAATATTAATGTTGTAATGACAATAATTATCTCAATATAAAACAAAATAACATAACAAATCTAACAGTAAGCATTTTCAGGGGTGTGTTTTGAGTGCTTCTGTCTGAACTGAAAACCAACAGAAATTGAAAGATGTGTGCCTCTCTCCCTCTCTCTCTCAAGCTGGATCTGAAAGTTTTGTACATCATGATGATCATGAATCTATTAGCCCTTTTAGAAGATAATTAAGAAAGATCTTAGCTCGAGAAACACCGATGACTTGCATGGTATAATGAGAATAATGTTTCACAAAAAACACTGGCTATACAATGCTAACAGATTTACAAACAAGACTTAACAGTAGCAGGACAATGAAAATCTGATCCGATGTATCCGAACTAGATTCAATTCATAGACTTGCAATACAATGACCGATCACTTGCTTTGGTAAAGAAAATGACTCATCTTGAGATGACTTTCATGAATCGATTTATCGAAGAGAAGATGCCTGCTGCTCTATCAAAAATTGATGGGCCCTTCTCTGACATCTCATCTATGTCGCCATATATTATCTGCAAAAACAAATCCAGAGGAAAAATATAGATGCTATGTTTTAATCAACAAACTCGAAATATTACCCAACTGATGAAATACTTTCTTGGAAGCAACTAACCTCGAGTTCTTCTGCAACAGGACGGCTTATTTGTTCTTTTGCAAGTAGATACCGGTTTGGCCTGTCCTGGTCGTCATAAAACACTTTCCATAACCTAGTAAAGCATCAGAAAAGTGTGAATAGGATGTTGAGTAATTTACTTAAATGCACAAAGCGAGGGTGGGGGAGTAACTTTCTAAGATTGGGACAGCCTATAAGAGAATGTATATATTTTGTATACTAAATATATAAATATATTCTAACTATTATTTAAATAATATTTATTTATACTTAATAAAGATAATTTGTAATTGACATCAATTTATAACATTTATTCATATTTCAACACAGATATTACAACTAAGCAGAAAAAAATACTAACATAGAAAGTATTATAATGTGTTTGAGTTGTTTTTCTTTTATTTCTTTGAGATTTGAATGTTTGAGAGGTTCTATCTTAGTTGGGAGCGAAATTCTCCCATGACGAGAGCAAGTTTTTCACTTGGAAGCGTGGAATCGCATCCTTGAGTAAGAAATGTCAATCAAGTAGGAGTTTCCTGCTACTAAAGTCATTTATAACATTCAACATTATGTACATGTACACATAGATACACACTCCTATCATAGACTCAAATAACAAACAGTGTGGAAATTATCTCTAGAGAATATCGATCAATCATATCATTCAGATACAGTAGAAAAAAACATTTTAGGATCAGCTGGCGTTTGGCTGATATTGCTTTGGGGATGGCATAGATAGACATTGGCCCAAACAGATCTGAATTCAGCCTCAAATGGATCAAATCAAAGAGGTGTCGGGAATTTAATAAGATTGAAAAGTTAGTCCTTACCCAGGATAACATCTAAACACAGCACCAGATGGAAGAGGTCTCATTGAGTAAACCACTGTGAAAGTGCTGCATGACAAACAACGTAAGTTTTACCATTAGTGACACCACGGAATTGTGTAATCAGTTCAAGAAGACTGTCGACCATGCACGAAGGATATGATGAAAAATACTCTCAACATTGCAGTCATGGAAAGTGACTGCAAGTTCAAAGATCCCCAAAGATCATGTTTTGGTTATAGGTAATTTAACTGTATCAAAATTTTAGAAATTATTCAATATGTCGTAAATGGTTGGTGTAAGATGTTTTGAGTAAATTGATTCAAAAAACAATTTAAAATGTTTCATAAAAGAAAAAAAGGAAATAAAATTGAATACTTCGCTTGAATGAAAATGACGAAAAGTTGCCTTAAAAAATAGCGCCGTAACTTCCGAACATTGAACCCTACTCCAACATCCTCACTTACAAGACGTGGATTCCACATGATGAGGGGCCTTGGCTAACAATGCAATTTGGAAATGTTGTCAGAAAAAAATTTGTCCTGCAATGAAGACATCAAAAAGACAGTACTGTGGATGACAAGCACGTGACTCATCATCTTATCAAAGTTTTCAATGGATGCTAATGAAAAATATCATAGGCGGTAATAAGAAGTAAACTTTAAGGTTAGAAAATAACTCACAATCAAGACACCAAGAACATAGCAAAAATTTATACAAAGCTTCCAACATGTTTGCGGAACTTCTCCTACGGATTTTAATTATTTGGCAGTTATTTTGGAATCTGGATCCTCTAGATTATTTTTTGTAGAGTGATCTTAGAGTGATTTTTTGAATGGATGAGATTTAATTTACAAAAGTCGAGGGTACAATAGTACTAAGTTGAAGGTACAACAGTATTGATAATCACTTTAAAAAAAATCTCAACCATATAAAAATCACTCAAGATCACTCTACGAAAAATCACTCTAGAGATCTGGATTCATTACACCAAATTTTCTTCTATATAATTAACCAATTTTATTTTTTTGCATACACTTGCATCATAGATGGGGGAGAGGGCAGTGGTTTGCAGGCTCAGGTTCAGTTGAAAAAGAAAAATTCTCAAAAAAAATGAAGGAACCACAAATATGACCCTTAGTTCCTGATTTTGACAATAACCAAAGCACCTTTTTTGGGAATCCAAAACCTGAAATCCAATGTCCATGAAACAATGGTCAAAGTTATGTTTAGCACTATTGGAGTATAAAAAGAAATTGTTCAAATTCCAAATTTTGAGTACTCATATCTAGGGTTTTTTAATGTTATTGTCATCATGAAACATGGGCTAATCACAATAACAAGAACTATACTTCCAAGCATGCACGCTTTACCCAATCCCACATATCACGATTCTATAATAATCCATGCTATGTGCATCCATACCAAGTATGGGTGTATGTAACATCCCCATTTGAAGCCATAACCATTTTGTTTGCTATGGGCTAGGCCCTCCTAGCTTTAAAATGCCTTGTTACTAGGAAGAAATATAAACTCATTTATTTAGCCTAGAAACTTTTCCAGCCTGACAATTGTGGGACAAGATGTTACAGTTACCCTTTCTCAAAACCACCTGTCCTCGTTTGGTGCATGATTTAGCACTTAGCTCTGCACAATAGTTCGCTCCCACTCATGGGATTTGAGAGGTGGCTCTCACCAATATGGCCCATGCACCACAAGGTAGGTCCCACTATTATACTTTTTGTAACCAAACCCACATAGCATTATATTGCCCACTAGCTAGGCCCTCGTGGCTTTAAAATGCATTGTACAATGAAGGTTCAAAACTCATGAAAAGTATATACTGACAAGAAAAAACCATTTGTGACCCCAAATCTCTAATGCATTTAACTGTGCCCGAGAGCAACAAGATAAAATAGATGAGACTTAGAAGCTTCCAGTGGAAGCCAGGAAACATGATCTGCAGATCCAGAAAACAGTTTGAAAATCTTGTCTAATAAATGATTTCCAACTATACCACATAAATTTGGTTAGAGAAATGAGCTTGAAATTTCTTTAGATTTTTTAAGCTAAAATATATTTCATCATTTTTTTTTCAATAAGTTGCAAAATATATTTCATCTTTACATTGATTATCACGGTTTCAATAATAAAAATAAATCAAGAACAAAAATGCACGAACAAAGGGCATGCTTCTAATAACGGATGATGAAATTAAGTCGGTACCGGATCATCTGAGAGTTCAGATGTGATTCGCTGTACATATTCCAACATCTGATAATCAGGAACAACCATAACAACAATTTCGTCTTCACTGCCTACAGGCTTCCGGTCACTTAAACTGGATAAAAATGCCACAGAAGAATTAGGCAATAGTAAGAAGATCTAAACTTAAATACAGAATAAAGACCTTGATAATCTCTTACAGTTATCTAATGGGACATTGAGGAGAAAAATTTACCGGACCCCCACATGGATCAATTAATTAATTGGAGCATATTTAAGGATATACTTATCTTCAAAATAAGCAAATACTTTTCATCAAAACAAGCAAATGGTCCCCCTATTATATTTACAGAAGAATTTCCAGGTGTATGGTGAAGTTTACCTGGAGAAGCTAAAAGCAGCATCTTGCCACCGATATTTTAGAAGGGCAGCAGCACCAGCATCTGGAAATATTGCTTTAACTCTCTAAAATTGAAATTCATACAATTTAGGAAATAAAGTTGTATAAAAATATTTATCAGTTCTTATTAATTGCTTAGGTTAGGCATAAAAAGCTATAATCAAAAAAAGAAAAAAAAAAATCCAAAGAAGTCATACGACTTTCACCACCACCATTAATAAACTCTTCAGATAGATGAAAGTTGAAAAAATGGGAAAGACCGTTTTCATGAATATAACAAATTTAGGTTTTATATCTGTATTTTGTATGAATTGAAGAATACTGACTTCAATGATCAGCCTTACATCAAGCCATATTTTTCCTTTCACTTTTTATTGAGAGATGATAATTGTCCACCATAAGGTGATCACCTCACCATGACACCAGACAGCTTGGTCATCTGTAACCTTACTTAAAGTGTTACACACATTAAAACTAACCTCACATCCTGTTTCTTCAATAAGTGTATCTATGAAAATTCTTGACAGCTCCCAGAGCTCACCTTGGGCACCTTCATCGTCAAGAAACTGCAACTGCGGAATTAAGAGCTCAACCTGAGGGGAAAAGCAAGAATTCATGTGAAAGTTAATAAACCAAATTGAATGTGAGTTTTTAATTTCTTCATAAAAAAATTCATAATTGTTCTAGAAGTCCCATGTAAAATAAAACTAGGAAATATGTCACACTTGTTGATCAGGACAGTTCTATGTTTAATAAAGGCTATTTGATTGAATCTAGCTTACTATTAATCATGGCTCATGCCAAGAGTTTTGATGTTCCAATAGCACTTGCTACCTCTTTTACATAGATATTAAGTACAAATGGCTCATTTAAGATAGAATATCACTTTACATTGATTAGCCCAGTGAACAAACAGAATCAGATTGGAAAAATTTTAGCAAGACACTAAACATGAATGTTGTTAGCATTTCAGTTCATACTCAACAAGGTGGTCTCACATGTACATACATTGAGAACGACAAACAACTTGAAATGAGTTTGGTTATAATATAAAGTAAAATCAAGAAGCTAAAATGATCATCATTTAACTCCAAAAGAATTCAGAAAAGTATGAGGTTGAGTTTTAAAGATCAAATACTATAGCTCTCATTCCTCCTGAAGACACAAAAGTGGCACTTGCTTGACTTGACTGTCGGACTGCACCCTCCAAATCAGATGGCAAGCAGCTGAAACATAACATTCAAATAAGTAAAAATATTCCTTCCACTGCTTCAATATATATAGATATATATTTAGAGAGAGAGAGAGAGAGAGAGAGAGAGAGAGAGAGAACATAAAAACAACAGTAGACAAAAGTGGCACTTGCTTGACTTGACTGTCGGACTGCACCCTCCAAATCAGATGGCAAGCAGCTGAAACATAACATTCAAATAAGTAAAAATATTCCTTCCACTGCTTCAATATATATAGATATATATTTAGAGAGAGAGAGAGAGAGAGAGAGAGAGAGTGAGAGAACATAAAAACAACAGTAGTGTCTGCAAATGCAAATGCCACTCCACTTACAGCCTCATAATTCAGCTAATGCATAGGCTATAAAGAATGAAAGAAATTCAAAAAAAAAAAAAAAAAATTTAAAATCAAAGTATTTCTCTAGCTTTGAGCTCCCAACAAACTGTGAGTGCTAAAGAGCAATTACGAAACATTCTTCCGGACTCAGAGAAAAAAAATGAAAAAAAGAAAAAGTAAAAGAAGAAAAGAAAAGATGACTGTATTGCTGCCTGAATACCCAAACCTACATGCTAACACTTGAAAGCCTAGGCTTTTACTACTGCACAAAGCAGTGGCCCCAGTAGAATCTTCCTACTATTTATGTATTCAAAAGCTCAAACTCTCTAACAATATAATCTTTCCTGTTACACACAATTTAAAATCTTAAGAATACTACCTGTACAATCGTTTACTTATTAGTTCTTACTACCTTTAATTTTTTTCAGTGTCCCCTTGGGCATTTTGGGGCCACTATGGAGAGAGCACAAGCAAGGGTTCAAATCCCATCACCTATCTGAAATATATTTTTTTGATAAATAATCACCTATCTGATTTATTATAAATAATAAAAAAAAGGAAGCAAAAATAATTGTCACATACTTATGTGGGTGTTTGGGAAGTTGCAATTTTAGTTTTTGGCTATTTTAGTAGGCTAAAATTTTTGTGTTTGAGAAGATGATTGGATTTTTTTGTAGTTGGATGTGATGTTTGTGAGAGAAAAAGTGAAATGATTATGGGTTTGATGTGACATTTTGTCTTATTAACTATTTTAGCCTATTTTGTCTTTTTGTGGATTTTAGCCTAAATTGGGCTAAAATCCCACTTCCCAAACAGCTCCATAGGCTTGTAGCCCATAGAAAAGTTTTCTAAATACATGTTAAAAACCAGCTTATATCAGGTTACAATTGGATCACAGTCTATTGGTTCTAATAATTTTTAGTTTTTTAAAGGCCCCATTGAGTGCAAAATCACACAAGTTGGATTTAACTTTAGAAATCATAGGATTCATGCAAGATGTGGCAATAAATAAAAATTAAAAATTATAGTGCCAATATTTGATATGCAAGTTGATGAATATTACCATGGCTAGATTTTGCTTTAACATGACCTACTTTATACTTAATTGTTTGGGTTAGAATTTCTTGCCTTCTAATTACAAATCTTGGGACCACCACTTTGTGTATTATGCCAAAGGTTAGGTGTGTACTTAATCTTTCCCCTCCCAAACACACATTAATGTATATTAATTGGGCGTTGTTTTTTTAATTACAACAATTAAGTCCTCAGATTTCACCCCTTATTTCAATGTAGTCCTCTCGTCACTGTTAACAAAATGGACAAAAATTATTCACGTGAGCACATTTTAAGGGTATTAAAGGAAACAAATTATGAAAAAAAATACACTTTTCACTCAAATTCCACTTTGGTTCTTCATGTTTCAACTTTCATTCAAATTTTAAACGATAGGGTAATGGGAGGACTCTATTGAAATTTGGGTTGAAATCTAAAGATTTAATTAAATGAAAAGGTGAGAGAACACTCATGCAGCACGATTCCACTATCAACATTCCCTTTCTTCTTGAGTTGTGAAATTGAGTTGCATTGGTGAATGCCATTGCAACATAGCATATCCTAATAACAGCAAAGCATCTTTGCCAAACAAGAAATTGGGGCACTTCTATTAAAGCAATTAACCAAAGATCACCTGCAGTATGCTTCAGAAAAACAGAAAGAAATAAAGACAACCAAAAACCCATCATCCACATGCTTGGCAAATCATAATATTGTCGAGTAATGAATGCAAATTCATCCTCAGAGCATGGAGACCAAACAGAAATATAGGACCCATCCACTATCCTTTTCAGTGTACTATCATCTTACTTTACGAAAGAATCAGATATTTAATATTAATCTTTCATTTGCACATGATATTTGATAGTTGATAAGCTACAATTTAGTGACATTAGCTAATCACATGTGAGCGAGACCAATCAGCAAATAGCACAAAATAATAAACTTTTGGAGCATATTATGTACTAATATGATGGAGCTACCAATTTTACTACTTTAAGCATAGTTTCTACAATATTCAAAGTTACAAAAAAATATATATATTATTCTTATATTTCTTCTATATTAATTTCACAAACCATATTGTGCCCGCTTATTACTGAGTAACATACCTCGTGCGTAATTTTATCAAATTAGCTAATAATTGACCAAAACAGCTCCTAAAAATAACAAGTATTACTTATGTGTCATCACATTGAGGCGCTTAATTAGTCTAGAGGAAATTATAACATTGAGACAAAACATTGATATTTTATAGTGCTATGAGTTGTCATGTACTTAAAGGACACTCACAGAGCCGAGTGGTATATATTGTTATTTGCAGGTAGGGTGTTACAGTGTTGCAGAAAAATAGAGTTGCGGAGTTGTTCTTGTAATCCTTATTGCCTATAATGGATTTTGATCTTTCTCCGCCAGGGACCTAGGCATCCCGCAGAACCACATATATCTTGTTCTTTCAGTTATTGTGTTTATTGCGTGATTGAAACCACGATCTTGCACAACAAATGGTTCAGAAAAAACTCTTCATATAAAGCTGGTCACTAATTTATGACTATAACACAATGAAATGATCCAATTTCACTACAACGAATACATCATTATTCATAACCAAAATTTGATCAATCAACTCAGCAGAGGAAAGACAAATACTCAAAAAAGATGATCAAATACATGCTTGTGTGTGTGTGTGTATATATTATAAACCCACCTGTCATCTTCTTCTTCTGCTTGAATTGTTTGTTGTTCTGACTCAAGAGAAGCTGATGATGATGATGATGTGATGGGTTCCTCAAGACTGTCTTGGGGAGTTTCATCTTGGAACTTCTCAAACTTAGCAAAAATTCTTGAGTTAGACAGAGCTCTATGGAGTGAAATTCCATTGGACCCAGAAAGATTGAAAGGATAAGAAGGGAAGGAAAAGCAAGATGAGGAGGGCAATTTGGGGATTGAGGCAGAGTAGCAACAGTAGAAGCTTGAACATGAAGAAGAGGCCATTGGAGATGGAAATTGCCACTGCTCAAACCCTCTCCACCATTTACAACTACCAGAGAGAAAGCCCAAATGTGTGCCGGTGCAGTGAGGGGATAAGTTGGAGAAAGTATTTGGTGTGGAAGCGGACCACCATCACAATTAGTGCAGCCTCTATTTTTTTTTTGAAAAAATTTAAAACTAATTTGATAAAAAAAAAAAAAGTATTTTAAAAATGATTTTTCCCAAAAAAGATAAAATCATAAACAAATGATTATTTTTATTTTATCATCAAATTAGTTTTAAAATTTTAAAAATAAATAAAGTTTGAAAACCAAATAGAGTGGTTGAGTTTTTAAAATAAATTTTTTTGGAAGTTTTTAAAAATTTAGTTCAGTAAAAAATATATAAAAAAAAAATGGAGAAATTTGAAATAAATGAGTAGCAGGAAAAATAATTGCAAAAGAGTTGGGAATCCTGAGGTCACGTTTGTTTGGCAGATTAGATTATTAGTGAGAGAATGGTTAATAAAGAAATTATTAAGAATAATCCTATATACACTAATTAGTATACTAACTAATGTACCAAGTGATGATGTCACATAATTTAACAGATTTTTGGTATTTGTAATATGATTAATGAGTGGATTCAATAATAATATCATAACTAGTGTTGGTACACTAGTTAATACATTAATTGATGTATGTAGTACCGCCAAATTATTAATGTGTGGATTGTTAGTAAGAGGATATAATAAATGTATATTTGTGGGAGATGGTTAATGATGGGATTGTTAAATTATTTTTAAACAAAATAAATTCAAAAATTATTTCTATATTAAAAAAATTTAAATAAATATTAAAACAAAAGGTGCACTTGGGATTGTTTCAAAAAAATAAAATAAAATAAAATTGGATGGGCAACTAGTTTTTTGATTCACAAAATTTTGTTTTGGCCAGCTGGCTATGTTTGTAATAAATAAATAAATAAATAAATAATTGCACTATATTGGATATTCAGGCAGACATCCGGGTAGACTGAAGCAGCTCACCATTTTTTTAATTCCACTTGTTTCCCAGCCAAGTTAATCCCCCCCTACTAAGAGCGAATTACTAAGCGGCCCAGACTGTGAAACTGTCCCTTTCAAACAACACCAAACATGTTGTGAGTGGGTGTTACAACAATCTTACTTTAGTCTGGTCGCTGAGATAGCCAAACAAATAAGGCTTAAATATTTTTGTACCTAGTATGAAGGGCAATGCTAGATGCCCAATTTTGCCTCTTCCAAACTTTTCCCAATAATGTGGCTAACAATTTTAAGAGAACAGAGAAAAGTTTGAAAAAAGTTGATTGGTTAGTAGAGTAATGCTACATCATTGGAGGAGGTTGGAGGAGAATTTTGGGAGGTTAAAGCATTTTTATATGAAAACTTTAAAAAAAATTTTTTTTTTGTAAAACTATGGCAAAATTTCATTTTTGCCCTTTTTCTTCCTTCTCTTATCTTTTCTTCTCTCTTTCTTTCACTATAACATTTTTAAATCCTAATCTATTACTAGCATCCCTTCTATCTCTCTGTTTCTCATTCCTTTTTTTCTTTCCTCTATCTTCTCTTTCTTCTTGTTCATCTCTCTACTTTTTTACAAACTCTAATTTTGACATTTTACCTTTCACAGATGCCACTATATGTCTCCTACATCAAAGCCCACACATTACTCATATTCTATTCATCTACACCCATTTCTTTGTTGCCATTACCACTGCTACCATGAGACATATTATGCGTGATAAGAGAGATTATCAAAGATAGTAATGAGGGAGAGAGAGGAAGAGATCATGACAAAAAAGAGAGTGAGAGAGTAAAATCGATATCTAATTCAATAAAGGAGTACGTGGAAGAGTAAGAAAAGATGAAAGAGAAGATAAAGGCAAGAGAGGAAAAAAAAGGGCTGTGAACTAGCGGGGGTAAATGTGGTTAGAGATGGTGATTTTTCATCCTAAGTACAAGTTTTTTATATTACCACCTATTTTGTAAAAAAAAATTCCTTGTTCCATTAATATGCACTTTTTTTTTTTTAAAGTATCATTTTTTTAAAAAATTTAGCAATAAGTTTTAAAAGCTCAACCATTATTTTTAGGGAAAATCGGTCTAAGGTCCCTATCCAACTTTTAGTAATGGAAGTACAAGTTTTTTATATTACCACCTATTTTGTAAAAAAAAATTCCTTGTTCCATTAATATGCACTTTTTTTTTTTTTTTTTAAAGTATCATTTTTTAAAAAAATTTAACAATAAGTTTTAAAAGCTCAACCATTATTTTACCACTAGGCATGTGAGTAGGGGTGAAAATTATTTCTTTTAAAAAAAATTGGGGCCTTTTCTAAACATTGATTGAGTTTGCCTCGGTGCTCCGTTAACCCGTCATCCGAAACGCTCCAGTAAACAAACATTATAGCCGTTACAACAATCTCTGCCCATCGGACGGCTCACATTTATTTCAATTCAAATTTTTTGAAATCGACTCAAAAACAAAACCCCTTTTCCTTTTCCGACTGTTATCAAAGATCTCTCTCTCTCTCTCTCTCTCTCTGCATTTCACATTATAGCTTTGAAGTCCATCATCGTCTTCTTTCTCTCTCTAAATTCGACGTTCTAGCTCTGAAGAAGATCTACATATTTCTGAACCAAACTTAGCGAATCTCATGGATGGTAATCAATTTCCCTCACATATCTTCTATATACAGATAGAGACTTATTGGCTTGTTTGTATATTCGTCATTTACATTGCTTCTTTATCTACATTTTCACACTACCGTGTTAACGGAGTCAATTTAACATCATATGTGTTGTTTGTTTCAGATCAAACCCTAGACACCCTCTCTCACCCCGAACCTTCTTCGAATTGTGAACCAGGTCTTGTTTTCATTCATTCCCTTTCAGCTTTGCTTCCTAAAATTGAAGAAGTGAACACGGGAACGAAGTTTCTTGATTTGGCGTCAGATCAAACCCTAGAAACTGCAACTTGCGACACAGGTTTGCGTTTTCTTTGATTTCTTGGCTTTAAAGTTCAAGGAAATGGTTAATTAATGTTTCTTGATTTCGACTGAGAGAGCTTGAACCCTAATAATATTTATTTATTTTTTATTATTTTTTTCTCTCATATATGTTCTGTTTGGTTGCCGAGAAACACTGGGGAAATAAAAGAAAAAAATAAATAAATTAGGCACCTTATGTTGTTTTGATTAGTTTTATTTAAAATAGTGCTCAATTGGTTGGAGTAGTTGTGTTCTTTGTCCAAAATAAAGAAAAAGTATGAGATTTGTTTTTCAACAAATTTTCTCAGGAAACCAAATGGAGCATTAGATACTATGATTTCTTTGTTTTCTGTCATGTGTGAACTGATCTAAGGGTATTTGGTATTATTTCAGAACAAATTGGGGGAAATACTGCTTCAATGGACGAGGGTGATGTTTCAGATGGAGCCCAAGAAATGTGTTCTGATGAAGAGCCGATTCTTCCAATTCTGCAGAAATTTGACGAATTGAGCAACAAAGTCCAGGTCAATTTTTTTATGTTGTACCCTTAAACAGTCATTTTATGATGAATTTTCCTGTAGCTGACTCTAATTTTCTGTGTTCCAGACTTTGAAGAAGGAGCATACAATTTTATGTGATGAAGTGAAAGGCATCTCAGCAGATTCTTTTCCTGGCTCTGAAGTTTTCAGTGCTCTTCAGGAACTCAGTATGTTTGTTTTGCCAATAATTGAGTTTGATTTCATGTTCTCCAGCCCCTCCTCTCTTCATGGTTTATAATGGTTTGTTGTGTGCTTTATTGTTATTAGGTACTGAACATGAACATTTGAAAAAGAAGTACCATGAAGAGTGTGAAATTTTAAAGAAAAAATACCTTGAAGAGACTTCTGAACGGAAGCGCCTCTATAATGAAGTGATTGAGCTTAAAGGGAATATCAGGGTCTTCTGCAGATGTAGACCATTAAACCAAGATGAAATTGCAAGTGGGTCATCTTCTATAGTTGATTTTGACTCATCACATGAAAATGAGTTAAATATCATCTGCTCTGATTCTTCCAAAAAGCAATTCAAGTTTGATCATGTATTCAAGCCTGAGGACAACCAAGGTAACTTGAGAATTTCCCGTTTTCTATGATGAATTTATCTAGTGAATTTAGTGCTGTTTAAGATTTTAACCCTCTGTTTGTCGAATTTGCAGAGGCTGTTTTTGTGCAAACTTCACCTATAGTGACCTCAGTGTTGGATGGATACAATGTCTGTATATTTGCCTATGGACAAACTGGAACTGGAAAAACGTTTACTATGGAAGGAAACTCTGAAAATAGGGGTGTTAACTACCGGACATTGGAGGAGCTGTTCAGGAGTTCCAACAAAAGGAGCAGTATCATGAGATACGAACTGTTCGTAAGCATGTTGGAGGTATATAATGAGAAGATAAGAGACCTCTTGATCGAGAACTCCAACCAACCTGCTAAAAAGTAAGTTATATTCGGCTCCGGTGTTAACTCAATTCCCTTTCACCATATCAAATGCTACCTACTGAGATATACAAACAACTTGAGAATAATTCAATCTTGTTTACCAAAGGCAATGGAAACAAACGATTTGTTGTGTTGCTTTATGTATTCTTTAAAAAAATTTAAAGATTGACAACAACTATCAGCACCATTGTAAGGCAGACCTCTTAGCTGAAAAGTTGGCAAGAGAAAAATAAACAATGTATTATATGTTTACAAGGAGATTGATCCAAAGAAAATAACTCTGGCATAAAGTAGTTATTTAGTTTAAACCCAATTGGACTTTGAATTACAAGCTCATATCCAGCTTTCAGGCTAGAATATTGGTTTAAGTCTCATACGCTTGTGCATAACAAAATCTTTGATAGAGAAAATGAGTATGGAACTACTTGCTAGAAAATGAATTTCTTTGATACTAACTATTGTTGCCAAACACACTGATAAATGAGTAGTTGAGAGCTTTAGTTGAAGTAGGGGCGGAGCTATCGGATACTTATTGGCCTATTTACTGTGACGATTCTGTCTTCGTCATGTTTAATATCGTGGCTCTAAACCGGCAAATATGTATTTGTTTTACCTACTTTCCATCTTTTCTTTCTTTCCCTCTGCCCTTGCAAAACAAGGAATAGGTTTTTATTTTTTGTTTAGGACAGACTTCCACTGCTTCTTAGTTTATAATGTTTCTAAGAGAAATGGGTTCAAGGGTGTTGATTTTATCTTCAGTCATGATTTATTCTAGTTGGTTTTTATGCTAAATTTACTTCATAAAAAGATTGAGTCTTTATTTTATGGGAATGAAGGTTGGAGATAAAGCAAGCAGCAGATGGAACCCAGGAAGTCCCAGGACTTGTTGAAGCTCGTGTTTATGGTACAGATGAAGTATGGGAGCTTCTCAAGTTGGGGAGTCAAGCCAGATCTGTAGGATCTACTAATGCTAATGAGCTTAGCAGTCGTTCTCACTGGTAATTGTGAATTCCTCTGAACATATTCATTATTTGGATCTAATCTCTTATCTCTACCCAGGTTATGGTAAATTATAATTAATTGAAACAAATTAAAAGATGACTAATAACCTTAAAAGATGACTAATACCCAGGTTATGCATACTTGGTCTGTTATTCAGAACCAAGTTGGCTCCCTCAGTTACATTACAAGGCTGAACACTTAAACTATGTTTTTCATTGTCTTAATGACTAAAAACTCTTAATTCTTGCAGCTTGTTGAGAGTGACTGTCAAGGGAGAGAGTTTAATAAATGGGCAGAGGACAAAGAGCCACCTTTGGCTGGTGGACTTGGCCGGAAGTGAGCGCGTGGGAAGGATTGAAGTTGAAGGTGACAGGTTGAAGGAGTCTCAGTTTATAAATAAATCCCTCTCAGCACTTGGGGATGTTATCTCTGCTCTTGCATCTAAGACAGCCCACATTCCATACAGGCATCTCATTCTCTCTCTCTGTGTCTGTCTCTCATGTTTATATGTCCTTTACACTCTCCTTATTGTTTCTCTACTTTTGTTCAAACCAGGAATTCCAAGCTTACTCATATGCTGCAGAGCTCTCTAGGTGAGGTTCTTTGGTGTTTTTAGTATTTTGCTTCCTTGAAGTGATTTTTGTGCTTTAGAATCTACTTTAAATGCTGTAGTGCCACTTATAATCTGCCATGCCGCTGTTGTTCAGAAAGTATACTTTTCGTAATGAGAAAAATGAATGAGTAATTGATGTGCTCAATTGTTTATAACTTAATTGTCGGGAATTAACTACATAGGATCCTAATCTAAAATATAAATTTTTGCAACAGAAAGTCAATTTCTATCTACTGCCTTTTGTTCAAGTAAAAATTACTGGAACTTGAAATGCAGGAGGAGATTGCAAGACCCTGATGTTTGTCCAGATCAGCCCAAGTGCTGCTGATTTGGGAGAAACTCTGTGCTCACTTAATTTTGCTAGCCGTGTGAGAGGGATAGAGCATGGACTTGCTTGTAAATAGGCAGACCTCACAGAGCTTGTCAAATATAAGCAACTGGTATGCAGAAAGATAACTTCTTTTCCAAGAACTATTATTTTTTGTCAAAAGCTGTTGCAACTCATGATTATAATTTTAAAACAGGCAGAAAAAGCCAAGCATGATGAGAAGGAAATGAAGAAATTGCAGGATAGCTTGCAGTCGTTGCAATTACGACTTGGTTCTAGAGAACACTTCTGCAGAAGTCTTCAAGAGAAGGTATTGTTTTAAGGCAATTTCTTGATGGATGTTCTAACAAAGGAAATGGATGTTTTATTTATTGGCTTGAAAGATAGGAATCGAGTTTTAAGCCAATTGTTCTTTGAATTACTCAACAGGTTCGAGATCTTGAGAACCAATTAGCAGAGGAGAGAAAAACCAGACTAAAACAAGAAACTAGAGCTTTGGCTGCTGTTTCTGCTCAGTCGTCAGCTCTAAACCAGACACAGAAGACCATAGCAGAGAAAAAACCACCATTGGGTCCCTCAAGATTGAGATTGCCTTTGCGAAGAATCACCAATTTCTTGCCCCCGCCATCACCACATCACAAGACCAGCACTCCCACTTCTTCTATTCTCCCTGTCTCAACAGATGACAAGGAAAACATATCGAAAACAACCAAGACAAAGGCACCCTTGAAAGCAAGACGTGGATCCATTGCTGTCAGACCTCCTCCTCCAGCAACAAATCCGGTTCTTAAGCCTAAAAGGCGGGCCTCTGTTGCAACCCTCTACCCCGAGCCAAACTCAAATGTGACGACTCCACTCAACAACCCCACTGCTCGGTTCAAGACTAACCGTGCAGTGGGTCGGCAATCTTTTGTTTGGGACCCACAAAGGGTATGGCGTACATCACGGGTACACTCTCCGCTGACAAAGCTGAAGGAAGAAACTGCTGCAACAGCAGAGAGAACACCAACTGCTCTGAGGAGCAGTAAATTTATGGGAAGTCCTCCAACACAAGCAGCAGGTTCATGGAAGCCAAAGCATCCAACAGTTATTGCATTACAACGGAAACCTTTGATATGGAGTCCACTCAAGTTGAGAGGCTTGAAAAGTAACAGGAGATCATTATTGCCTTCTTGATCTTTCAATGATGCACAAATCAAAGTTTTCACAAGCTGTGTTGTCATTCATCTAAAAAAGCTTACAATTTCTTTTACGATCACCCCTTTTTTTCTTTTTTTTCCTTGGGATTTTGTGCTAGTGTATTCTTCTTCCTTGCTAGTAAGTAGTACCAACTGCTTCTTCTTGAAGATTGGTCTCCATAGGGGGAAGCATATTGTTTTCTTTCTCTCAAACCTCCATTTTACAATATATGACAATGATTAGTTAGTTCAATAAATTACTTTTCTTTTTTTTACCCTTTTTCTTTTCAGAATTTTATTGGATTGTTTTATCTCGTGAGAATTTTGAAGAAAGGGGGATGACCTTAATGAGGATGACTTAAACATTATTCTTTTGTAAGTGGTTAAGAAGGATATGTAACCCTTGGGGATATATAGGATGAGATATAATGGTAGCGTTTGGTTTGTATTTAGAATTATGATTTGAGTGTGGAGTTGTATTTTGAGTTTTTGAGTTTTAAAATTATGATTTGAAAAGAAAAAATTTATTTGGTTATGAGTTTTGAAAAAAGTTATTTGATTATGAGTTTTGAAAAGAGTTTTCAAAATTTAATTAAAAAACTTATAACCAAACACACAAGTTCATAACCAAAATATTTTCTATATTTAAAAAATATAAAAAACAAATATTATATATATATTTTTCAGATAAAAACACTATTCCGGTTAACCAGCTCGACGTCCGGGTAGAGCCAAAAATTCAAAAACTGTCTAGGACCAAACATGTTTTCAAATTGTGTTTTGAAATTGATTTGGAATCATAATTTGAAAACTATAATCACATAGGGTTGATTATTAGTGTGGAATCATGGTTTGAGAATCAAACCAAACATAGCCAATATGTTTATGATATGAGATAAATTATATATATTGTAAGCATGTTTGATTAGGATAGGATATAACATGGGATAAGAAGTATCAGTGGACGAGTGATAACAACTCATATCATGTGATAAGGGTAAAGATATTCAACATCATGAGAGGTGGTATTGCATATCTGGTACCAAATAAAAAAGATATTAAAAAGGTGAGATCCATATGTTTTTCTTTGTTCCCTATGTTAACATATAATATACTATACACTATAGTGTATGTGTAGGCTGTAAAGAGAGCTCACCTTTGTAGCTGTAAAGAGCTCATCCACTACCACCTTCAGCTTTGACAGACGCCTTTGTATAATTTTAATGTATATTTGTTTGCTTTCGGTGTTCCAGTATTCCAATTGTCTCTTTCTCCTCTCTATAAAGAGAGAGAACTCATTCTCTTGTATTTACACACAAACATAATAACAGATAGTGATTATACAAATCTGTCTTTCCAGTCTCTCTCTTTTCTCTCTCCCTCCTTACCAATCTTTCATGGTATCAGAGCCCAGAAATACAATTCTGGCATCTCTCAATTTTGGTGCTTAGTCCCGTACACAGCGGAATACACCAAAGAGCTCGGAATCTCCTTACGATTCCAACGGCACCAAGCCCATCACCAGAAAAGCTCTCACGCGCCGCTCATTTGCTTGGCGCGTCTTTGCTTCCGTTGCCATGCTCATACGCGCTGCCATGCGCCTTCCACCGTGCACCCGCGTGCGCCGTTCGTCTACCGTGAGCCGCGCGTGCGCCGTTCCGCTATTGTGCACCCGCGTGCGCCATTCTGCTACCATACGCCGCCTGCCCCCTCTGCTACCGTGTGCCGCATGCCCTCCTTGCTAACGTGCGCCGCTGACATCATTTTCCATCCTGCTGACATCATCTCTACACAGCCCACCTTTCCTAGCTATTTTCGACCTTCCGGACTCACTGGTACACTCTGTTTTACCTAAATTTACTCCTACAGGTCTATCCCTATCTATTTAGCCCTACTTCACTATTATTATGGATCGTCCTGATGCCTCCCATCCCATTTCCGTTATTTTGGATGGTTCCAACTATGTTCTATGGGCCCAAGCCATGTCTTCCTTCCTCAAAGGAAAGAAGCTCTGGCGAATTATCACCGGGGACATGACCCAACCGGTCAAAGACATTGCTGAAACCACTGTTTCTCCTGCTACTCCCACATATGAAGATCGCCTTGAGGAATGGGACAGTAAGAATTATCAAATCATTACCTGGTTTCGAAATACTTCTGTTACCTCTATCAGTCTTCAGTTTGGTCGCTTTCAGCTTGACTCTGTCACTACTCCTGCAAAAGACATCTGGGATTTTTTGAAAGAACGATACCAGACTACTGGTCTTGCTCATCAATATCAACTTCAGAGCCAACTTCATCGGATGCGCCAAGAATTTAGTCAGTCCATCAATGACTTCCTCTCTCAAATGTACTCCGTTTGGGACCAGCTTGCTCTTTCCGAACCGACTTGGCCTCACCAAGAAGATGCTGTTTTATTTACTGCTTATCGTAATCAGCAAAGGTTGGTGCACTTTCTCATGGCTCTCACTTCATCTTTTGAGCCCGTACGTGCCTCTCTTCTTCATCGTCATCCCTTGCCCACTCTGGAACAAGCTATTTTTGAGTTGCTATCAGAAGAGACTCGTCTTGGTACTCTCCAAACTCATCATGTGGACTCTGTTCTTGCCACTCCCCCGTACCGGCCATCATTCACCCAGCGGACCACTGCCTGCCTCTACTGTCAGAATCGGGGCCTTCCTTCCACACATCTCCTGGTCAATTGCCCGGTCAGAACCTGCCGATATTTCAACAAACTTAGTCCTGGTCATCTGCAACAGGATTGCTTTCGCCATCCATCCCGCTCATCCTCCAACAGCCACTCTTCTCGCAGTGGTTCTTCTCGGGGGAGCTTTCATCGTTCTAGGAATCAACCTCATTCTGGCAATCAGTCTCCTCACACCGCCACTGCTGCTGCTACCGCTGAGGGTTTTTCTGAGTCTCCAGCTCCGTCTACCCCTCTTTTTTCTCCAACGGATGTCGAGGCTATGTTCAAACACCTTCTCTCCCCTTCTGGTACACCTCCTCCTACTGCTTTGTCTGTAATTCCAGGTAACTCTTCTTGGTATTTTGATTCTGCCTGTTGTAATCATATGACCTCCAGTTCCACTATATTTTCTTCCATCTCTTCATCTCCTCATATTCCCTCCATTCAAACTGCTGATGGTTCTCTCATGCCTGTCCGTCATCTTGGTACTGTTTCCACATCTTCTTTAACTTTACCTCAAGTTTATCATATCCCTGCTCTCACTTTAAACCTTATCTCTATTGGTCAATTATGTGAACTTGGTCTAACTGTCACCTTTTCTGCTACTCATTGTTTGGTGCAGGACCCTCAGACGAGGCAAACTATTGGGATCGGCCGTAAGCACGGACGTCTCTATGAGCTCATTCACCTTCATGTTCCTGCCTCTCCTCAGATCGCTACTCCTGCATCTGCTTCCTCATTATCTCCTTTTCATCTTTGGCATTGTCGCTTAGGACATATTTATATTACTCGCTTAAAGTCTTTGGTTTCTAGTGGACAATTGGGTCATGTAATTCCAGATACTTTCGATTGTATACCCTGTCAACTTGCCAAACAACTTGCTTTATCATTCAATAAAAGTACTTCTGTTTCCTGTGCACCTTTTGATCTTATACATTCGGATATTTGGGACCCTTCCCCTACCACTACTATGGGGGGATCTCGTTATTTTGTTGTTTTCATTGATGATTTTTCACGGTTTACTTGGATTTTTCTCATGAAAACACGGTCTGACCTCAAAACCCTTTATTATCGATTTGCCCAAATGATCCACACCCAATTTTCCAAAACCATCAAACTTTTTCGCTCCGACAATGCTATGGAATATCGGGATTCAGATTTCCTTTCTTTTCATCAGAGTCATGGTACACTGCCTCATCGTTCCTGTGCTGGCATGTCCCAGCAAAATGGTCGTGCTGAACGGAAACATAGGCATATTCTTGACACTACTCGCGCTTGTCACGACCCAAACCCGGCCCTATGGGTTTAGCACCGCAACCGGCCAGTAATCCGAGATTACCGAAGGCCTGCAGAACAGTAATACAGTAAAACAGAGTACAGGGCCTGGCGGAAGCCAATACAGTAAATAAATAGTGTCCATTGAGCTGTGACCGTCTGTATGCAAAAAGGATTTTCATACATTTATACATAAACAGTGCAGAACAGTATACACAATATTTACAATCATTCAGACTAGGGACTCAACCCTATGTAATAGTACAGTAACACTCGGTCTATACAGAACAGTAAAACAGTACAAAACAGTACAGAAGGGGGAAAAACAAACAAAACACCCCCAAGCCATAGCATGGCAACTCGGAACCTCGCAGTGAGGCACAAAGGCTGGCTTGACAAAACTGGAGTAACCCTGACGCCTCTAGCTGCGGTCTGGTGCCTGAACACCTACATATATATATGAGCAGTGAGCTAAAGCCCAGTGAATAACATAAAGCGTAAAGAGGTTTAGAATGAATGTCCTTACAGTAATGAAAACAGTTCAATTCAATCAGTATTTCAGTCGTTCAGTACAGTAAACAGTCATATGTGGTACATCCATTAGCATAACAGTAACAGTAGGTCTTGAAAGACCGAACAGTAATGATGGCCATCAGTCAGTAAACAGTAGTGGTTCCACGAGGGAACCGACAGAGATCTCTGTAACAGTAACAGTAAACAGTAGGTGCTAAGGATGCCACAGTACAGTTCAGAAATAAAGGACATACATTCATTCAGTAATACCAGTTCAGTAAAACAGTTCAGTTCAGTATTCAAAAGATATCAGTTGAACATATCTTTACACAATTGTTACTCACAGAGTTCTGGGCTACTGTATGCTAGAGCGTATCTTCCCAGTTGCCAACCCTACACAGTTCACAGGTCGAACACACACTAAGCTACACAATTGAGAAATATCATAACTTAATCCCTAATTCGCCTTGGTGTGTTCTACATCTATATCCTCATTAAGATACCTTAAACTAGGCCTAAGAATGCCTAGGATGGGATGAGGATGCAAAAATACACTTAGAAAACATTTTGCAAAGTTTGCTGAAAATAGGAGCCTCGCTCGAGCGAGACTTTCTCCGCTCGAGCGTAAGTCCAAAATCAAAGGCTTCGCTCAAGCGAGAAATCCTTCGCTCGAGCGGTCTGCAAAACAGTAAAAGTACTGGATGCTGAGATTTTATGCACGATGGTCGCTCGAGCGGAGCCCTGGACAAAGGTGCTCGCTCGAGCGGGGAATCCTTCGCTCGAGCGAGGAAGCCAAATCTG